AAGGAAATTAAAGGGCCACCATTTCTATATCATTGACATAATGCTATAAACAAATTGATGGCTGTAATATTTTCAAATAATGCAAATAAATGAAAATGATGGTCATGTGAGGAATCTTTTTATATGATTGAAATTAAAAATAAAAAATAAAATTGAGTTGTGATATCGACTTAGGCATCACAATCAAGATTTGCATCATAAGAATTTGTTCATATACATGAATGTTTATCTTCAAAAATAATTGAACTTTGTTTGTCATGCAATGTAATTTCCAAAAATATCACAAAATTTTGTATAAAGCTGGCGAAGCAGTTTAATCGGATTGACTCGTCATATATTTTCAATAAAAATGTGTACTTATATTTTAAAATGTCGTATTTTTTATTTATAATACTTTATGAATTAATATTTTAATATAAACGTATGCATGCATGTCATAAATGAGTCATGCACGAGCTAAAACTAGTCGAGCTTAAGCTGAGCTTTTGGCTCGTTTATTAGATGATCATGAACTACTCAGACTCGATTCCAATTACTGTTCAAAATAACAAATTGTAAGTAAATAATTTCTAAATAAATAATTTCTAAATGGTTAGGTGCGAAATCCCCTCCCACTATAAAAAGAACCAAATGAAAAGCGTAAGTCAATGATTTTTCCTTTTAATATGGGCCCAAAAGTTGATTGGGCCGTAAATTGATGTGGGACGGTTCATAATAGGACATGCTGCCATTTTATTTAGGACTTGGTCTCCTCCTTATTCTATGAAGTTTGTATTTGCAGTTTTGCTATGGAGCCATTAGATGACTGATATTTTGGTTTGTAGAAGTTGATCCTATTTAGGCATCATATGTCAAAAGTAAAAATGTCATGCATTTATATACAAACTTAAATGTTTGGTTAAATCGATAAAATAAAAAATTCTAGGTATTTTTTATCAATTACGTTTTTTTGGTGAAAATCCACTTTTATAAGTATGGAGCATAAGTAGGCTGCAAATGAGTCAATGCTCGGCTAGAGCTCGATCAAACTTGAGCTCGAGTCGAGTCTCGAGCATCATTTCTAGAGGCTCGTAAGCTTGACGAGTCGTTCGACTTTTTGGTTACATAAATAGTTATATAATTTAATTATCGATATTAGAACACCAATGCCGCAATTGTCTGTTTAGATAAAAATAATAATTTATATAATATTTAAAATTTATTTGTTAAAATTACGAGCCAAACTCAAGCCATTTCGAGCTTCAAGTCGATCTCGAGCGTCGAGTCGATCTCGAGCATTCTTACTTTTTTAACAAGTCGAGCTCAAACAACATTTTACCGGGCTCGTCGAGCTCGAGCAGTGAAGTAAAGAGTTTGACCTGCACTTGAAAAAGTTCATGCTCGACTCGTTTGCAGGTATAAATATTTAATATTTTTATTTTTATGATCATTTTTTCCTTAAAACTCAACCTATATCTTGAACTAACAAATTTTCGTCGCCTAGAACTTTGAATTATAATATGTTGCATAAAACTTGTTTAATTCAAAATTACGATAGTGTGATAAAGTAACTAGTGTGGTACTCATGCGATGCACGGGCTAGTTCTATTAAGGTAAGAATTTAGATTTGATGATTGTTTGATTGTAAAAACGAAAATGTAACTTATATATTATTAAATACATTCTTGCACACAACATTATTTGTTTGGTCTTATTGTAAATCGTCTATCGCCGCAAATTATATTAGAATTCTAGATAGACTTAAGTAAATCAATTAAATTATTTAGGAGGATTTATATGATATGATTTGTACTGGTTTTATGAAGAATGCATAGTGAAATATAACGGAGATTGTAAAACTTCTTTCTTGATAATCTCTAACTTTATTATTTTAAAATTGTAAATCACTTAATTTAAGGAAGGGAAAAATTGTGTAAATGTATGCAATCCATTTCAAGTTTGTATTCGAAAGAATTAAACAAAAACCAATTTTTTAGGATGTTCCAATCCGATTTCGTTTTGAATTTCAAATTAATATTATCTGACTCTGTTTTATGTTTAAAAATAAATTCCAAACTAAAAAGAGTAGTAGTCAAATGATAAGAGGTTTTTAAATTTTATTTTTCAACTTGTTATTGGGCATGATTTCTATGGAATCCGATTTCTTTTAATAAACATGATATGTTGCAATTAGGTAAATATACATGTCATAATATTTTGCCTAAATTTGAAATTCTCGACTTTATGGTAAACAATTTTTTTTGTTTTTAATAAAAAGATTAGAGAATTTTGACTTTTACAAAATTGTCATGTTGAATTTTACTTAAATTAACCTGATTTTCTACGAAATTCGATTTTTATAATAAACAATTGATCTGTTCCAAATTGCAATTAATAAAAGATATATGTGATAATATTTTGCCTAATTCAAAATTCTCAATGTTATGGTAATCAATTTTTTTACAAACCTCTACCTTTCAATAATACAAAATATAAAGTATAGCACTTTAAGATTCTTTTCTTTCCTTGCTTTTAAATTGAACTTTATTAGCAAACTTAATTATTTACATTTTGTGGCCGGCCTATCTTTTCCATGATTGTGTAAACTTTATATCATGTTTTTGTTCTATACGTGGATTTATCCAACAGCTATTCATAAGGATCTTAAATTATCGTACTTTTATCATACTTTTATCATAATGTGGTAGAAAATATTAAAACAACAATTCGTAATTACGAGTGAAAAGTTAATTTCATTGCAAAGGTATAGTTATAAATGTTATTTTATTTAAAAATCATATACAAAATGTAATTGGAGAAAAATGATATATATGAGTAGTGTTGTTAAATTAAACAAGTCTGGCTTCACTTGGTTAGTTTGATAAACGAGTCGAGCTCGAGCTCATATAAAGCTCGTTCAGGCCCGGCTCGAAAAGATAATTTCACACATTTTTTTTTCTAGTTTGGTTCGTTAAAGCTCGAAATCGGCTCAAACTCGGCTTGCTACGAGTGGTAAACTCAATTTCAGGCTCGTTTATTTAACGAGCCCAACTCGGCTCGGCTTGTCAAGGACTCGAGCTTAACTCGACTTGTTTACATGCCTATATATGAGTTAAATAATGTATTTTTTGATTGATTGATAGGATAATTATGTTCTCGAAAACCCATAATATTAAGCAAGAATTTGGTCAATACTTTGCGTTTAAAATTAAAGAGAGTAAAGTCAAACCATGTAAAACTCACATGAATAAAATGAACTTATAAAGCTTTCCAAATCCAAATATATTGTACTTTAGCTCATAGTATGATCTTCATTGTAATTTTATCTTTTGATATATATATATATATATATATATATTATATTATTTCTGTTGACTATATATAACATACAAATGACTTTGGGTGTTCGCATTTATTTATCCAAAACTATAAGATCCTTTAATCAATATTTCGAGCTTCATATAAATTTATATATGGTAAAAAAATACTAAAAGTCCAACATATCAACCTTGAAAATTGAAAAAGGAACCAAATAAACAAAAAATAATTGTACTTTGATTTTTGTTTAATTAATTTTTATTTTTGCCTTCCTTTGTACTTATGATGATGAACATATTTAACTATATGCTAAATTAATTATGTTGGCATTAATGCAAAAATATACTATAAGAATGGACCTTAATCAACACGGATCATGGGAAATAACAAATAATAATACCTGAATTTAAAATCCATCATTATATTATGTTCCAATAAAATAAATAACACCAAATTACGATTACTAAATTTAAATATCATACTTAAAAAAATCAGTAGTTACTGCAGTACGTAATAAAATTTTAATATAAATACAAGATTCTTCCCAACCAAACATATAAAATAAAATAAAATAAAAGTCAATTACAAAATGATTAAATACATGTTTTCAATTTACTCAATGAGATGGTTTGCTCTAAACCACCACTCCTCAATTATTTTTCTCATTTATTATTATTTATAATAATTATTTATTTTGAAACAAAATAATGATCAGAGCAAAGAAATCAAGAGTGGGGCCCACATTTTTTTTTTTGCTGTCGTCTGCTTTTCTTTGGTTTTATCTTCTTCTTCCTATCCCTTTCTCAAATATACAATCAGCAGCAGCAGTACCTCTTTTTTTT